AAGAGTCTTTCTTGGGCTTCACAAGCAGTGGAATGCCAAAGATGGGAGGCAAGGTGGCTGGCTCCGGGGGACCTCTGGAGAACCTCTGCCCCCACGAAGGCAAGGGTGGGGGTTTTCTCAGCATGATGATTCTTGAGGCATTGCCTGGGCAGGCCTTCTGCTGGCCTCCCTTCCTTGTAGACGAAACCCGGGGAAAGGCACCTGCAGGAGTAGCGCCTGAGCAGCTGGGCCCGGGCCCTCTCTGGCCCCAGACCGCGCGGCTCTGCATTTTCTTGATTGAAGAGCCCTCCAGCTCTTCAACAGGCTGCCTTTCTGTAGCCGACAAGAATCGCCGCGGCGTGGTGGCCAGGAAAGAGCTGGGAGCCTGCAAGATGTTCTCCGGGACATGGGGATTCGGGGGTCTGGGTGCATCTCCGAGACCCTGAGGGCAGCCAGCGGCTTTGGGGCAAATGCTCACCCTTATCACTTGTACCTCACTGTACTCATCAGAGGAATCGGAGTCAGAAGACAGCCCTGCCCCGCTTTCCATCGAGGGCCACTGGCGATCCATAGTGGTGCTGAAGCTGCTTTTCGGGCCGCTTTTAGGGGTTCTCCAGGCCTGACCTCCTTCGCACACACCGAGGGTGTGTGTACTAGACTCGCTAGGGACAGGAGTGCTTCTGCCAATAGGCCCTTTTTCCAGGTCTGCCCAGAGGGTGGATTCGTGAGTATCGCAGCTTTCTGGGGACGACGACCTCCCCACGAACCCGCTGTGTTCATCCACATGCACCACCTGCCGCAGGAGGGCTGCGAAATCTTCAGGTTCTTCAAAGCGGGGCCTGTATACCAGAGCATCTGGGTTGCTGAACTTCACGGAGCCAGATCGGCCTTCTTGACCCCACAGGAAGCCCCCCGTTGCTTTCACCACTTCCTTCTTGACCTCAAGGCCCCCGGGGGCTGGGAGCCCACCCTCGCCCTGACGGCTGCACGGTGGCCCCTGACCAAGGCCTAGGCCACGCCCACGTGGGCCTCCAGGGCCAGTCTGCTGGACGCCGCCCTGCTCCCCTCTCTCTGAGTCCAGACCCGCTCCCAGGCCAGAAACCTCATCTGGGGAGCTCATGTCTCTGAGGCGGGCAGACGATCGCCCCCGTTCCGCAGGAGAGCCGGGTTGCCAGAGTGCCAAGCGGTCTGGTCCTTTCCGAGCTGGCAACAGCCGCGTGGGAACTGTTACAACAGAGCACGCTCGCTCGGTCTCCGAGCCTTTGTTCGAAGCCTGCGTCAAGGTGGCGTGGTGTGCTCTCCTCAGCCAATCACAGGACCCCTTGTTGGGTTGCCCCTAGCGGCCGTAAGCCAATGAGAACGAAGGCTTTTGGGTTCTTCCCAAGTCCTTCAGCTGGGCGCGTGCAATCAGGTGGCTAGGTCGGGTTTGGGG